GACCCAGTCTTTTAAATTTGAAATCTGAATTGACCTTGTGAAAAAGATGGAAACCACCCCCCCACAGTGGGTTGATTTCCTTATTTTTTTCTTTTTGGTAGCTGGTATAGCACACCCAAACAAATGTTCTCATTTCTTGTCTTCTCTTAGTAACTCTTTTTCATCTTTGCTAGTGATGCATCGTGTCTCAGATTAACTTCTTGGGACTTGCTTTGAGTAGTCTCAAACTCAGTGTTTCAATCTGAGCATTTAGGTGCTCAGATTTGCAGCTCAGATACTGAAATTACATGGTCTGTGATAATTGCATACCACAGTATCCTGTAATTTTGCTCATTAGTCTGGTAGTTTTCTTGCTTTCCCTTGCATGACTTTGAAACCTAAATGATACTAAACCTCACTTAAGTAGCGTTGCAACTTACATACTTAACATAGGCCAAGTATGTTAGTAAGCAAATGATATCTCACGATGTTTTTCTCTGACAAGGTGGATATTCTGCATGAGCAGAGCTTGCTAGTGCCAGGAGATGATGGCCTTTAAGAAGAACGATGTAATTACCCGCAAACATAAAAGTTCCAAACATTTTTTTCTAAGCATTTATCTTCTGAACTAGAAGCAGGTTATCTGTGTTGACCCCTTTGGCTGACTGTGCCTAATGTTTCAGGTCATAGCCTGATGTGACTTAGTTTTGTTGTTGTTATTCATATAGTACCTGTGTTGCAGACTGGGAGCGCAGGATGAGGCTACGTAAGTCTAGAATCAGTTCTCCAGGCCAAGGAGAAAGAGCCATTCTGTGTCACCCTGGTTTGCCATGTTATGTATTTCTACTGTACAATTGGCTAAGGAACTGAACGCTTTTTGAAATCAAAACTGCTAGATTATATTGTAGGGTCAATGAAGTGTTAATTTGTTCAGCTCTGATGAAAAAAGAAGGAAAAAAAAATTCCATGCAGCTCATATCAGCTGGGATCTTTGAGAGAATCTTTTTGCCAGTCTGTAGTTTCTGGTGGTGCTGAGATGCTCCAAGACACTACACTATTTCAGTCACCAGTGTTTGAATTGTCAGTAATGCTCGGGCTAGCTGTTGCTTGAGTATCTCCAAAAGCACGCTCTGTGTAGTGAGCTTTTTGGCAAAAATGAAATGATTGGCATCAAAATGCTTGCTTTAGCTAGGCAGGTGGAGAAAACTTCTGTTCTATATTTGTCAAGTGCTTTTAAGTTGAAGCAATAGATTTTTAGAGATGTTCTTTAAGATCTTCTGCACACGGGAACACAATCTGCAAGTAACTGAACCCGTGATTTAGCATATTTAAATGTTAACAGCAGTTATATGAACACCAGGACTATGCCCAGACATGAAGTTTTTGAACTAATGAGTTCCTTAGCTGGCAAGTGGATTTATATTTAAGGCTGATTTGCGTTTGAACTTCGTAACAGATTTAATTCTTGCTATAACTGCAAACAGGAACAAAAACTCAACTGCAAAATTAAATAATTATGGCAGCAGGATTTGAATATAGGCATGTGTTTAATATTTGGGTGAGACAAGATTGTTGGGTGCTGATTGGAGGTGGAGAAGTTCCCTTGGTAGTAACTTGGGGAACTGGAGACATTTACTGTTGGGTGCAGAGGAATGGTAAAATGATGAAATTGGGACTTGAAATATGTGTTGCGAAAGGCAGCAGTCGGCCTGCTCTGGCAATAATATTTGCCATTGCTGCTTAGGACTGAGGTTAAACGACCTGTCAGGTTAAGCTCTGAAGGGCTGTGCTTTGAATGCCTGCAGTTTAACCTGTTTTAAGCTGCCCAATTTGCTAATGATAGTGCAAAGGAAAGGCAAGCTGCAGACTAGTTTTGGAAGTTAAATAACTATCTCGAAAAATAAATTGGTGACCTGACCCTTTGGCAGGAAGGTGCAGGTTTCTGCCTCAGCTTTCATCTCTTGGGAGGATCCAACTTCGAAGGACCTTCAACAGCCACTTAATGCCAATACACTGTTGTGGTATTTTTCTGTGTGTTTTCTATTCTAGAGCCTGGCAGCCTCCTTTTTGAGAAAGGAAGAGCATGGAAACAAACTTCAGACAACTCTAAACCAGGCTTGCTAGTGGGAGCTAAGTGCAGATGAGCTAAATCATTTGAAGGCAAAATATTACTGAAATCTGAAGAATTCAAGCAGTCACTGTTTCCATAATACTTCACCTTTGAAAAAGTTCTGTATCTCTGCTGATAGCTTGAATGGCATATAGTGAGCTGGAAAAGGGAGGAGAGAGAGGAAAAAAATGTGTAAGAGCTAGGGAAAAGCCAAATGTATGCAGTGTTTTTTAAACGTTTTTTCCTAATTGCCCTGCTAAGCGCTGCTATTAATTAGTTGTTTTCTTGACATTAAATGCTACTAACGGCACTCCAAGTGCGTTTAGCTTTTGAGGTTTATATTTCTACGAAGTGTAATTTAATGTTTTGCTTAAATTCTGGGTGGTGTGTTTTTGCAGAGCTGCTTTGTTGTTTTTCTTTGCGTTTTGTCAGCTTCTCTGGAAGCAAACACAGGCACTGTGGAAAGAGTAAAATCCTGTTTTTGCAATTGCAAAGTGCAATCTGAATTTTTCTGTTTCATTATAGGTTCAGGCACAAGTCCATCCTAAACTTTCCTCTACTGAAGACGCTTTACAGTACGTTGAAGAGTTAATTCTCCAGTTGTTAAATATGTTGTGTCAAGCTCAACCAAGAAGCTTTCTGGATGTAGAGGTACAGCGAATATTTTCTTCAAGTCTGATCTGTGTCTTCCAACTTAATTTGAACAGTTGTATGAAAAGTCTAATACATGAATCATTTCCAAATGTAAAATTGAATGCACTGAGTAAGAAAGAAAAACAGTAATTATGTATCTTTATGTATCAGAGCTTCAGCATAAAATGTTTTGGTCTGAGTTACCTAATAGTGCTTTTTATATATATATGATTTGAATTTGTTGCTCAATACACAGTAAAACTGCTTTTGTATAACTGTACTGTTGTATAACAGATGGTGAGTGTTACTTCGGTAAGCAAAGCTGACTGGTTTCTTTCAAAAGCCCTTTCTGCACTTGTATTGCATTCAAACCGTAGCTGCTTAGTCTGAGACGTTCTCAGCGTGATGATTTAGTCTGATTTCTCTCTTCTCTTACTCTTTCCCCCCTCACCTCAGCAATTTAAACAAAAATAGTTCAGTCACTCTCTCAGAATGAGTTAAGAAAAAGTTATTTCCTCTATAGCGAAACCTCATAAATTTATCTTTTCAAAGCCCTCCAAACTCTTGTACTAGGAGAAGCAGCCTGAAGTTGGAGAGAAGGGGTATGCATTTCATTTCCACTTAGGAAGCAGTCTAAGCTATAAGTTTATAGCTAAATCATAAAATTATAGCTCAATTATAAGTTCTAAAATTATAGCTAAATTATAAGCTCTAAGCCCGTGAATCTCTTGGTAGCCCTTGTGTTTTGCCAGTGACGGAAGAAGTCGGCCTGGTTGCAGCCTGCATCTCCTTTTCCGGTAGCTGGAGGCTGTGGCTGGGCCAGGTTAGGTAACAAAACAAGGTGCAACTTCCTTAAGGTCTGGAGAAAACAGTGCTGATGGTTCCTGCCAGGGCCATGCAGGGGGCTGAGAAGCTAAGAGGTTGTGGGCACAGACCCGGGTTTATAATAAGGCTGGAAAGCCAAAAAATAGCTGTCCTTAACTCAAAGTTCATGAGCTGCTGCTTCCTCTTCTCTCTTAATTGCTAAGCCCTCTAATAGTGTTTCAGCATCCCCTCAAGTGACTGGCCTGTCTGCAACGTTGTTTCTGTGCAAGTTTTTTTGGTTATTTGTTTATTTTTAATTATTTTTTCTTTAGCATTGTCAAGCACAGCATTAAACACAGTTAATATATTAGGAGTCTGTGGTTGTGAATTCAAGCCCTTAGGATGAGAAATACAAGAATTAAAGGTGATCAGACAACCTCAGTTTACCCCATTTGTGTTTATGTATGGTGATGCTGTCTTTAATTATATGGTCAAACACGTTTATTTTTCCCCCTCGGGACACCCCCATTCAGTCAGCAGACTGGACTGTGCTAGGGGAATGAATCAGTATTGGATAGTGAACAGGACTGTTGTTTGTAGGACCTCTCCTTTGCTTGAATTGCAGATGGGGTCCAGGGGAAGGGTGCACTTTGGAAAGTTGGGTGCCACCTTTGCAGGGCTCAGCTTTTGTGAAAGAGCTTTTGTTTTGGAGTTCTTCCTAAGTGGCCATTAATTTCATCTTCCCCATTTCATTGTTGCTTAAATTGGGGCTGCATTTACGTAAGTTAGGGGTGTGAACTGAGGTCTGAAGAAAAAAAAGAAGTGAAGGTGTCCAAGAAATGGTTTACCAGCATTTTTGGACTACAGGCTAACAAAAACGGTGAAGTTTTTGGACCTTCCTGCATGCAAGTCCCAGTAGGGAAGCAGTTTAGGGCATAGGAGGGTGCAGGTGCATTCAGGCACCTTGTCTGCTGGAAGGAGCAAACGGTGAGGAAAAAATCCTGACAAAACTGTTTTGGACATGTGTAGTCCCACTGCAGTCTGTGCAGCTGGTTTTTGAAAAATATGGATGCTCTTAAGGAGTCTCTTTGTTAATGTCTTTGTGGCTTTGTTCAGAGTGGTTCCTATGCAAGTAATACCTGATGTGGACCACATATTGATCAGTGATTGTAAATCAGAAAATGCATAGCATCTCATCCAGTGTCCAGCATCCATTCTATACATGCCCCAAAGTTCTGTGATACCGTGTCGTTGTATACTTAAATGCTGAATTATCAGGCATATTTATGAAGTGAACAAAAAGCTCCCTGCAAGGGGAGTGTAATTCTGATATTTCTCATTTTAAGCATTGAATGTTTGTGTGTCGATGTTATTCTAATGTTCAGACTATTGAATTTGAAGCTGTATAACCCCCTGTAGTTGAAATAGCATTATCAAGCGTTTCTTTAAGCAATGAGAAGTGCTTTGTGAATGTAGGAGTATAGCTAAACTCATTCATGCACTTACCCTTTAGTCTTGTCTTCTCTTTAAGGATCGTGTTCAAAAAAGTTTTCCCCATCCTATTGATAAATGGGCAATAGCTGATGCCCAGTCTGCTATTGAGAAGAGGAAACGAAGAAATCCGTTATCTCTTCCAGTAGAAAAAATCCATCCTTTATTAAAGGTAAGTATTAAAGGTAACTTTGTTACCTTATTATTTAACAATGTTACATAATTGCATTTTCTGTTTTTCCAGCCTAGTGAGTAGTACATATTTTTTTTCATTTTTTCATTTCATTTGAGGACTTTTTTTCCAAGAAATTTCTTGATTGTTCACTTATGATTTGTGCAACTCCAAGAAAACAATCATTTCTAACAAATGAGTACTTAACTTTATTTATCCAATGAGAACAAAATAATTTTGAAGAGTTTTTTTGATTCTTGTCTGTTCTCACCTCCACATTTAATAGCAGCCTAGCATCTGTAGGTTAACAGACTGCTGTACTTGCATTACTGAAGTAGACTGTGGATGTGTGGTGAATGTTTATTGAATAATGTCTTAAATTTCTGATTTTTAATTGTATCCTATGATGTATATTTAATCACCTGAGTAACAGTGGAGCACTTGTTTATTTTGCATTTCAGGAAGTTCTAGGCTATAAAATTGACCACCAAGTATCTGTTTACATAGTGGCAGTATTAGAATACATTTCTGCAGACATCTTAAAATTGGTTGGGAATTATGTGCGGAATATAAGGCATTATGAGATTACAAAGCAAGATATTAAAGTGGCAATGTGTGCTGATAAGGTAAGCATAACTTGTTTCTCATCTTAACAGAAGGAAATGTTTAAGTCTGGAGAGGATAGTGTTTATTTCTTATTGCATTCAAGGAATGTTGCACGTTTAAAAGCGAAGCTTATTGCACCAAAATATGGTTCCAGTAGTATTGCAAAGGTATCAGAAAGTTAATTGAGCTTACAGAGCTTTTCTTTGTGCTGGATAATAGTTCAGTAATTCTTTTGGAAAGCTAAGCTTAAGTATGGACCTTTTCATAATTAATGGTCTAATAATTTGAAAAAGCCAAAAAAAAAAAAAAAAAACCCCATATCAGCCTAATCTGCCTTAGAGTTCCGTACTTTTAGCTGTGAGTAGTCTTTCCTGCAAGAAAGACTAAACCCCTGGTGACTTAACCCCTCTCTTCAGTCTCGGGTCTTGGTCTGTCTCTAGC